TACTTTGAGGTCTTTGCCATTAAGTATTTGCCTAGGCCAAAATGTCCTGAAGTTTTTCTCCTGCGTTTTTTCTAGTAGTTTTACAGTTTCAGTTCTTAGACCCCCTTAAGTCTTTAATCCATTTTGATTTGATTTTTGTGTATGGTGAGAGATAGCAGCTCGTTTCATTCTTCTCCATATAGTTATTCAGTTTTTGCAGCACCGTTTATTGAAGATACTCTGCTTTCCCCCATGTATGTTCTTGGAGCCTTTCTTGAAAATGAGTTGGCTCTGAATATGAGGATTTATTTCTGGGTTCTCTATTCTATTCCACTGATCTTTTTGTCTGCTTTTATATCAATACCACGCTATTTTGGATACTCTAGCATTGTAATATGTTTTGAAGGTAAGTAGTGTGATGCCTCCAGCTTTGTTCTTTTTGCGCAAAATTGCTTTGGCTATTTGGGCTCTTTATTGGTTCCATACAAATTTTAGTAATTTTCCTATTTTAGTGAAAAAAAATACATTAGTATTTTTATAGAAATGGCATTGAATTTGTAGATTGCTTTGGGCAGTACAGTCATTGTAATAATATTAGTTCTTCCAATCCATGAGCATGGGATGTTTTTCCATTTGTTTGTGTCCTCTTCAATTTATTTTATCGGTGTCTTGTAGTTTTCCTTGTAGAGTCTTTAACCTCATTAGTTAAACTTATTCCTAGGTATTTTGTTTTTTGTATCTATTTGAAATGGGATTGCCTTCTTTATTTATTTCTGATCTATTTCATTGTTGGTGTATAGAAAGGCAACTGGTTTTTGTATGTTAATTTTATATCCTGCAACTTTACTAAATTTACTGATGTGATATAAGAGATTTTTGGTGGAGTCTTTAGATTTTTCTAAATATAAGATCATATCATCTGCAAAAAAGGACAATTTGACTTCCTCATTTATTTTCAGTAACAGCAGATGTAAGCAGGTGGCTGGGGGATACATGTGTCAGCTCTAGGTGGTGGCTGCAGGTGGGGTAGCCAGCAGGGCACTTGTAAATCTGTGGTGATCCTGCTGCTTGTGGGTGTCAGGATTGCTGCTCGTGGCTTGCACTTCAGCTCTGATAGCAGTAGCCAGCAGTAGTAATGGCCGTAGACATGGGAGGTCAATAGATCTCTGGAGATGTGAAAATGCAGGGACTGTTGGACTCCAGAGCAGGATGCAGTCTGGTGATGGCTGGACTCTCAAAATGGCTCCTTAGAGCTCAGGAGGTACATGCAATGCAGCGTGGGCTCCCTCTCCAGAGCAATGCCATCGCACAGTCTCCAGGCAGCTCCCTATGTAAGTCTTAGGGCCCACGAGGGTCGAGGGGCTCTCCTGTGGCTAGAATTGCAGGAGTTTGTGGTGGGAGTGTAGACCAATGGGGGTCTCTTACTTACCTTTTTCCCACATTGTGGAGTCTCTTTCAGGTTCCCAGCCAACCGTAGCCAAGCAGGCTGCCTGTCTTCCCCTCTCGTTCCTTGCCTGAGGTGTTTCCTGTTACTTCTCTGTTGAATTCCAGTGTTCTTTTTTAGATTATCTATTTGAAGTGTGATTACGCACTATTTTATTAAGGAAGTGAATCTGCTGAATTTTATGCCTGTTTTGCTTGATTCAGTTACCAATGTGGATTATTTCTTTCCAATGGGAAGCTATTTGAGTGCACATAATTACTACACCACATTTCTTATGTGGCCTCAGGCAATTTTCATCAGGAACAGCATTAAGCTAGTGAAGAGATAACAGTGTTCTTTTCATTGCCTTCCTCTGGGTAAACCGATTTGCACGTGACTAAATGGTTTTCACTGGTTTCTCTATACAGACACTTTTCTACAAATTATGCATGATGCTAGGTATAGTCC